TCCATCTGTCAGTGGTGTCTCCTACTGGCTGTTCTGTCTGACCTTCCTGAGTGCCTGGTCCTGCTTGGTGAGTGTATGTCCTGTTTAAACACAGTTCCCAATTCCTGCGGGAATCAGCTGCTCTTATTATAAAAACCCACACAAAGACTGCACAGGCTATCTCTTATCTGCTGGGAACCTTGTGAATTACCTCCAGCACATTGGTAGTGGCTTGGTGGGGCTCTACCCCAGGAGGAGTTGAGGATTGCACACAGTGACCATTAAGTCCTATAGCAGTAGAATTGTGATGTTGTAAATCATAGGTGGAACTTCACTGTGCTGTTTACATTCCCTTGAAGCCTCACAGGCACAGGAGTCAGATATGTTGCATACCATGACTTGATCTTCCTTGAAGAAAGCCCTCCACTGGGATAGAATGAATGTTTAACATTGTCTTCGCTTTGGGTTCCAATAAATTCCTTCATCTAGGGATGGGAGAAGTGTTTCCAAATGGTGTTTCTGGCAGCAGAAAGACTCTTCAGAATGGATGGGGGACACTACCATCCTCTGCTCAGATTGTATCATGGGGTGCATTGAAGGAAATAGCTTTTGACACTGTAGGAAGTTCTGCTCAAAGGGAGACATGCAGGGGACAGAGTCAGCATCAGCCCTACTGGCCATCATGTAGGCTAAGTAAGGGTACATACTGCCCAGCCTGACATGCTTCCAGGTTGTCATCTTTTGGCAAAAGCAATGTAGGTCCTAATAGAAGTTAGGGATTATGAGGAATGCATCAGCGTATCTGTGTTCCAGATGTGTGCCAAGACTGCGTCCCCCCACCAGTGGATACCTGAAACCTCATTAGTGAATATACTATTTGCCGCAGTCTGGCTGCAGCAAAATAACCAGGGGGTGACGAACAACTTGTGTAGATTGATACAGCAGGAGTGGAAGCCGTTTATTGTAGGACAACAGAGGTATTTATACATTACACACAGCTTATCTAATTAACATAAACTAGATACAGCAGTCAACCAATAAGGAATCTCCACACTTAATGGCTCGCTGGCAGTACTTCACAAACCACTCCCTCTGGCATTTTGCCAGGCGCCATCCAGACTTGTTTACAGACTCTAACATTTCCCCCTTTTGTTTAACTTAAATAACAACCATAGTGGTTTTTACATAAACACCATAAATAATCTGCTACTAGCAGAAGGGGAGGATACAAAATGCCACAATACCAAGCCAGTTGATGGCTCCATGCAAGAAGTCCTTGGAAAAATTATACCAGCAATGACACCGTTAGCAAAGATACCGAGTTATAATTTGTTGTAGATTACAGTTTGTTGTCTCAGTCCAGGTAAAGCAGTGTCTCAATAGATTAACTCACAGTCCAGGTAAATCACAGTCCAGGTAAGTTCTGCAGGCAGCTAGCGTAAATCACAGTCCAGGTAAGTTCTGCAGGCAGCTAGCCTAAGCTGTAGCAGCAGAAACAGCAACAGCTCCGAAGTCTCGTCCGTTTCTCAGCCGAAGCTTCATCCGGTTTTCAGCAACACTGGAAATTCTTCCACCCTCGTTTTCACCGGCACTGGGACGAAGGCAGGAACTCTGGAAGGCTAAAGAAAATCCTGTAGCATTCCACTAAGAAAACAACCTTCTGAACAATTTAGTACATTATCTCAAGGTTTTTTACATTTGAAATAAGCCTTAATAGTGCTCATTACTCATTAGCTTCCAGGTGTGGGAGAACCATTGTAGCCTAGTTATTGGCATTGAAAATGACCAAATATCAGGGACACCAGTAGCGTCTTCTGCTGGCTGTAGTGCCTGGGCAGCCCCAGATGGCCCTGGGGAGTGTCCCGGACTCAAACTGCTACTGGGCACAGGGAGCAAGAGCCTGTGAGACTGTGCCTCCAGGTCAGGTCTAGATTTGGGCTCGGGGCAGTGGAAGAGCCAGCTCCCCAGCCAGGAGGCGGGGAAGGGCCAGTCGCTGCCGCCTCTTGGAAAATCCTTGCTGCGCTGTGACCAGCTTGCACACTCGGCAGCTGCCTCTCCGCTTCACGCACCCTCCGGTAATGAAAAGTATTTAGTAATAGCCTTTTGCTGCAACTTTTTTCCTGATAATCCTTCTTCTGAACTTTCTTTTTCTTTCTGACTAGAGTTCCTGGGCTCTTATCAACACATGCCCTAACTATTCTTGGTTCCACTGGGGTGCCTTCTTCCCTTAGTAATTTATTTCTCACCCCTTCCATATTCTCATCACAAAGACAATACAATACACTGAGACAAAACAAGACACAAACATACTGTATCAATCTCCATTTTCTCGAAATGGCCATTTTTCCTCTCGCCCTATCTGCCTAGGGACGAGCAGATTTGCTCCCGTCCTATCTATGGACGGGCAGCTTTTTTTTTTTTTCTTTCGTCACTTACCCCCGAGTGTCCCGGGGCTCCCCGTAATGGGCCACCATCTGTCGAAGGCCGGCTGGCTGGGCAAAATAACAACTATTATTTCATAAATAAGTATGCATATACACATAATTTATGTTAAAGTTAGGCATAGTAAAAGATTAACAATGGGAGATTAAATGGTAATAGTGAATGTAATGTTGAAATTATTGTATTAAATATCTTAGCAACATTTTTTTTTCTTTCCTAATTAAGTGGAAAACTCACCTTTTCATTTACAGGAAGAACTTCACAGCTTCTCTTTAACATATTCAAATTGCCAGCATTACTACTATTTTGCTTTGGGGCCATTATTCAATAAAGGTTACTTGAACATTGCATTACAATGCTAGGGCAGCTGATCTCATAACTTAGAAGTGTCAAATGATTAGGTAGTAGATATAGTGTGGATATGTTGGGTGAAGGGATAATTCACATAAGCTGTTTGGAGCAGGATGGTACAAAATTTCATTTTAGTCTAAACACAATATAAAACTCAAATTGTGGGCTGGGATTGTGGCTCAGTGGCAGAGTGCCTCACATGTGTGAGGCACTGGATTCAATCCTCAGCACCATATTAAAAAAATAAAGTTATTTAAAATTCATTGTTTATTCAATTTTCCATTTAATAATTTTTGGGTTGTAGATAACTGAAACCATTGAAAGCAAAACTGCTGATTAGGGGGTATAGATAGCCTTACATCTCAGGTCTGTGTGCTGGGTTGACTGAGGAAGCACCTACTTGATTCGTTTTCCCTGTCCCTATCCCTTGGAGGACAGGGAAAATGAAGCAAGTTGAGGAGCAACACTAGTGAGTGAGGCCTGTTTCATCCTCATGGTGCCCCAGCTTCCCCACTGCTGGCCCCATTGCTTGTCTGGCCCTGCAGGTAGAGTAAGTACTGAGGCTTACCTCACTGGGACCCCTCTGGACCCCTCTCTGCCCACTTACCTGTGTTAATAAGAGATCCAAACCTGTTTCTCCCTGTGACATGTTTGACATTTTTCTTCAGGGCTCTCCAGCCAGGGGGGGAGATGACTGTCCTTGGCACCCTGTATACAGAGTGGGTGTGGAGTCAGACCTGGACCTACAGGGCCTGGTGTGATATAGGTGTGTCACATAAGAAGTTAATGTGAGGTTGGGGCCATTCCTAATGGAGGGCAGGGTCTGAGCTTTCTGTATTCTGAGTGCAGAAGGGCAGAAACAGGTAAAGTCATGGGTTGAGTTGCTCTTCTGAGATGTGTTCCTATCCCTGAAGTTCCTTTTGAGACCACCTGAGAGCCTGGGCGAGGTGGTATCAGGTCTTTGCTCACCAGTGTGCAGGGATCCCTGTATCTCATTGTAGTCCCCATTAGTGCTGGGAGAACCCTCCCCCTTCCCCTGTACTGGGCCTTCTGGAGTGGAACATCCTGCAGAACAGAAGTTTAGGAGAAATCGTTTCTGTTGGATAGCTAGCTGCATTAAGGCCCCTGGTCCTCTAACAGCCAGATCTTCCCTGAGGAGCTTGTTAGGTGCTTCATAAGACTAACAAGGCAAAGATCCCAGGTTTGAGATGGTGTGACAGGGAGGAGGTAGCTGCTGGGTGCTGGGTCTTGGCTAGAGGATAAGGACCCTCCTAGGATCCCCACATGGGGAGGGCTGTAATAGGTTTCAGAGCAGAAGAAACCCGGGGCATTTTGGAGTGGCCAGGACAGGCCCTTGCTAGAGAGGCAGTAGAACTACGAGGTCTCCACTCAGGCTCTGAGTGTGCTCTGCCAGGGAGTCCAGTGCAGTTGCCCAGACCACTTATACACATCTCAGACGACCTCATTCTCTAATGCCGGTCCACCTTAAGTGATAACTACACTGGCACTGGTGGGTGGGATTTCCTGCGGGAGGTGGGCCTGCTCACCCGGCCTATCCCGATCCTGGGCAAGGTGATGGCGCCCCCCTGTGGGGCATCCAGCCTCTGGGAGGAGTCCCAGGGTCTCATACAGACACCCTTCCAAGCCTGCAACCTGGGCCAGGACGCGGAGGGGCCTGTGGCCCCTGCTCTGTTCAGACCTGAAGAATGGCATGAGGGTAGTGAGATGGGGAAGGTTGATAAACGACACTGATGCCCCTGCAGTATCACAAAATCCACCCCACCCTCGTGACTGCCAGATGGCTCCAGATGAGGGGGCTGTCCCTGCCCAGGAATAGCATGTACCTGTGGCCATCAGCCTGCGCGGGGATGCACATGTGATTAGGGGAAGGAACTATTTAGGAAAGATCTGTGCAAACAGGCCCAGGAGGAAACCCGCACCGGGTAGGACCAGGGTCTCTGGATTTCACGGAGGTTGCCACTCGTCCCGCAAAGTCTGCAGGGTACAACAGCTGCGCTGAGCCGAGGCAAGGAGTGACCCCGCCCCTCTGAAGGTCTGGGGGGTCCGAGGGCGGAGGGCACTTGCGTGGGGCTGCAGGCGGGCAGCGAGTAGGCCAACGCACCGCCCCCGCTGACGCCCCCCCCTCCCCCGCGCCCGCCTCCATCCTCGGCAGCCGGGTCCACCTTAAGGGGCGCGCTGACATCAGTGCGCCGCCGCGCCCCGTGGGGTGGGATTTCCTCCTCCTCCTCCTCCGCCGCCGCCGCCGCCGCGGGTTCTGCGCCGAGTCCAGCCCGCCCGCCCGACCCCGGCCCGACCCCGGCCGGCTCCGCCCGCCCGGCCCCGGGGAGGGATGCGGCGGCGCGGCGCCCAGGATGCCCCGCAGCCCCGGGACGCGCCTCAAACCCGCCAAGTACATCCCGGTGGCCACGGCCGCCGCGCTGTTGGTCGGCTCCAGCACCCTCTTCTTCGTGTTCACGTGAGTTGGCATTGCGTCCGTGTGCCCGGGTGGCAGTCAGGCCTGACATAGATTCTTGGGAATACAGAGGCAGCTACCGGGCTGGGTAGCTGGGCCGGGCAGGGGGCTGGAATCAGACCTGCTGGGCGGGGCGCGGGCTGTGAGCAAGGCGAGCCCCCACCCTGGCATAAGGGACCGCATCCCGGAATGCCGCGCGTTCTGGAACAGGTGAGCCACATGTGTGTGAGGACAGTGGTACTAACTGGGCATCCCAGAGTTGTGTCAGGCAGGCCCTGGGTGTGGCAGCAGCCCTTCCCTTTCACAAAGCTCAGGAGGGGATGCGGGCTGCCTAGAATTACTAGCCTTCCTTGCAAGCAGCCGTGGGTGCTTCTTGGGTCCCCTCCAGAATGCCACCCCAGGCCAGAGCCAAGTTATTCCCGCGTAGGTGTGGCCTGGTCTGGTTGCCACATGCTTACCCCATAGCTGCTGGTGACCCTGGCCTGGTGGGGTCCTCTGCCCTCTGTTGGCCTTCCTCTTTGGAAGCTCTCAGTGGCCATTTGAGTTTGAGAGGCTAGGCTGGGCTGCACTCAGAGATAGATGTTTAAATAGCTCTGCTGTGGGCTTCTCATAGTGGACACTAAGACCTTTGAGGCTAAGCCTCTAGTTATAGGGACAGAATCCCCTTGCTCACAGGGCCTCAGGTGGCTCCAAATTCAACTTCTTCACCTCAGACATGTTGGCTTACAGCCTGGAGTGATCTGCTGACCTCCCTCTGTTGTCCTGGGGTCACCCTAGGGATCATTCAGGCATGAGGAGGGATTGCTGCTAACCCTTTCCACAAGTCCGAGCCCAGGTGGGCAGAGTGATGGCTTCTGAGTGTGAGTGAGCCTGGGATAGGCAGGAGTCAACCTACTGCTCTTTCACCTTTGTAAGAGCTGGGGTGGCAGCCCATGTGCATGGCAAGTCTGAATTGGGTGCTTGAGGAGGCGGGAGAGTACTTACCTGGAGGCTGGGGCTGCAGACTGCCAAGAATGTGTTTAAAAAAGGCCTGTGTGGACGGGCTTATTTCTGGCTCTGGAGAGTCAGTGTGTTCTTCTCATTCTGATGCTGCTGACTATGGGGCAGAGAGAGGTGGGTAGTGGGTGAGGTTGGGGACCCATTCCCTGGGGCTTCTGGGAGCATGGATCTCAGCTTGGTCTTGGCCTCCCAGGGACTGGGGTGGTGTGTCTGTCTCAGGTCTTATTACCCAAGTGCAATCCAGTGTCTTTTCTTATAACTTAAGGTTCTCTATGGAGAACTTACGAAATGCAGGGGGAAAAAAGTTTTAAAGAAGTTAAAATTCATCCTCCACCTCATGGAGACCACCCATCTCCTCATCCTCAGAGAGCTTCTCTGTGCCCTGGACTCACCTCTATGGCACCCAGGCCATGCAATAGGAGTGCTTGTGAGTCACTCACCTGTGGTTTCAGAGTCTATTATGTGCTCTTTCCTGTGAATTGACCCAGCCTAGGCCTTGAGTGCTGAGGCTGCTGCCATTCTGCAGGCTGCTAGTACTTCCTTCCTCTGTTCTCAAAGCTGGAGTTCTAGGGTCATGGACAATGGTGCTTTTGAGGTATCGGGTTTCTTGTTGAGGTAGCACTCCAATCTGTGTGTGGCCCACGCTGAACTCAGCTAGTCTAGGAGAACATGCAATATGTGTCTCAGTGGCAGGATGGAGTCTCAGTGGTGTTATTGGGTCCCATTTGTAGGAACTATCTAGTGAGACTCAATGGCTTCACCTGTCCCTTGGCAACCTTGAAGCCATATTTCCTGGGCTAAATTGGGACTTTAACTTTCCCCACCCTAGCTCTTCTGGAATCCACTAGGTGGCTCCATTTTTGAGAAGGGGTCTTTGTAGGGTAGGCCATGACAATTCTGATTAGATGGAATACTAGGTAGGTCTGGTGGCCATGCTGAGTGGGTGTCCTTGGAACAGGCTTCAGTGCCTCCTTTGTGGCTTCCTTATATCCGGTAGCTTCCTCATGCCTGGGCCCACTTTGGCTTCAGTGAGGGAATGGTTCCCTACCCTACTCTCAGGATCTATATAGGGTTTCTATTTTCTTTTTTGCTCCTTGGACTTTACCAGATGGTGAATGGACCCCAGGTCTCCTCTCTGCACTCAGTAATGTGAGTTGCCCCTTTCAGGGTAGATTCTATTTCCATACCAAGTGGGCCATGTTTCTGGTATCATGCAAGATCAGGAGTCTGAGGCCTGGAGGACTAGGGATCCCTTCCCTCAGCCAGCTCACCAAAGGTTGTGGGGCCAGTAGGACATTCAGACATCTTTCCAGGAGAGGCTGAGGTGTGGGAAGGATGCCTGATTGAGAGTGTAACATTTTGAGGTTGGAGTGTATGTTGTATGGCAGATTCTTAGAGCTTTCCAGGTGGGGTTTGTGTCCTCTGGGTTCCAAAGGACTTCTTACTATAGTGCAACACTAGGCTGGGTCAGGTACATGGAGGGGTCCAAAAGCTTTCAGGGCAGTCCTCTGCTCTGCCTCTGTTCTGCCTCTCCCCAGAGTCACTTTGCAGAATGACAGGGACACTATGCATGTCAGAGGACTGGGGCTGGGCGGTCTTATCTCTGAGGCATCTGGGTTGGTGTGGCTGGGCCTGAGCCCTCTCCATGTTGGAGGCTTAGTCCAAGACAGCAGATGGTCTAGGCCTGGGGGTTAAGGGGCTAGGTAGAAGAAGGGCTGATTGTGCCTTGTGGGGAAGAGCCTGAGGGTGGAAACTCAGTGTGAACTCCCCTGCCAGGACATGATGCATGTCACCAGGGACTTCCCTGCCCTCCTGAGCCTGTTTCCCCATCTGTCCAGGTGTCTATAGGGATCAGACTGCTAGGTAGGTATAGATGCTTCATGATCCAGAGGCCCTGCTTGGAATGACCAGGGCAGAGTGGAGTCCTGGCATTCCATGGGCCAGTACCACTCTCAAATGCAAACTGTTAATGAAGAACCTGATATAAAAGAAAATGTCTGAGTTAAAAATTTCCATTCCACATTTAGCTGTGGCAGACATTCTGCCTGTAAAGTTCCCCATCCCCCTTTACAGGGAGACTCTGCTAGCCTAGGCAGGACTTAAGACCTCCACCCTGGTGGGGCACACTGTAATGACTTGTGTCCTGGCTTATGTCCCTGCTGTTCAGGAGGTAGGGCTGGAACTGAAGGAGTGCTTGGAACCTCAGAGCTAGGCCCCCTCCTGGTCCTCCATTTGGTCCACAGCATGGCTTGAGTCAACCAGAAGGGGGTCATAGGGAAGTTGTAGGCAGGATTCATGGAAGGCTAAATGCTCTGCCCATGGTCCTGGGGCCTGTGACCTGCCTGTCTCTTTCTGACCCTCCTGCAAACTCAGGTCTTGGGTTATGTCCTGCAGGGGAAGAGGATGAATCCAGCTGGGGTCCCTGGAGCCAGGTAGAGAAGGACCAGCATGGCGCACATGAGCGGGGAATATCCTTGGGGGGCAGAGGATCCTCTCAAGCTTAGTGCTGGCACAAATATGGTTTGAACATTGCTGCCCAGGAGAGCTCACATGTCCTCTTGTTTCCTTCTGTGTCTTTGTGTATCCTTGCATGTTCTTGTATGTCTTCCGGTGTCTTCACACATCTTTGCATGTCCTTGAGTGTCCTCATGTTTATTCACATTTGCCCTGTCCCACAGGGGAACAATGGACAGCCCAGAGAGGCAGAGGGATTTGCCTGAGGCCTACAACAAGGGGCTACTGAGCTGAGGTTGGACACAGCTGGGTGTAGGGGGAGGAGGGGTGTGTCTTTGCATGTGTGTGTTCATGTGTGCATATGCATATGCTTAGGCCTCTATGATTGAATGTGAGCTCTGCTAGCATTTTTGCATTCATTCACCTGCACACAAGTGTGTGTGCCTGTGCATGTGTATGTTCTTGCATATACGTGTGTCTTGCTTGTGGATATATTTGTATGTGTTCATGCATATGTGCTTTTTTTTTGTTTTGGTAAAAGAGTGGTTGTCTGTGTTTATGGGCCTGTATATTTGTGTTTGTGCATGTGTACTTTGGAGCATGTTTGTGTGTGACACATGTATGTGTGTCCACATGTGTGTTCAAGTGTGTGTATGTGCCTGTGCATTCTCTTTGTCTCCTCCACCACTTAGCACGCATGCTTCCTAAGTTCTGGGATCTGCCAGGGCCGAGATGGGTTAGCTAGTGGGCCTGTCCCCCTTAAGTGGGGTCTAGGTTCATGGGTCCCTGCAATAACACCTAGAGGGCGACAGGGAGGACAAGTGCCTGGTCCTGGGCCTGAGTCAAGCCAAGGGGCTGGAGATAATAGGAGAATGGTGGCTTAGGTCTCAGAGAACTTGTGTGTCTCCTCAGTCCTTTCTGATACTCAGCTAAGGCCCCCCACTGGCCCTCCCAGACATTTGGCCAGGTGGTGCCCACACTGGATAGAGGCTACCCAGCATCTCAGTGCAAGCACTGCCCTATTAAGAGCACAAATTTCCAAATGTGGACCTATCATTGCACAGCTGCTGTCCATACCCCTTCCTGCTAGGGAATCTTACTCAAGTCAGCTGTCTAGCCCACCTGCCTTGAGGGGAAGAAATTGAGGCTCAAGGACGTTCCAGTGGTATAGACTACCTGGCCAGCTGAGGGGTTCAGGCCCTGCCTACACCACGGGTGAGGGCACTCCCAAGACCAGTTCCAATTAGGGCCAAGGAACAGGTTGAAAACCCAGCTCAAATGCACACTGGTCCCAAGGCCTCGGATCCTCAGGTCCTTGTCTATAAAATGTGAGGACAGCAGCTTTCCCCTTCCTCACAGTTGGGAGAATGGAGATGTACCATACAGGATGGGAAGCCATGGATACAAGGACAGAGCCCATGACTGGCCTTTTCATGTGTCCTTCCACCCTGGGGACCTGCCTGCTGCCTCTCCCCTACATCTATTCATCCATCTACCTCATCTTCAGCCAGCCCCTGGACTCTTTGGTCTCTTCCTTTTCCAGCGCAGGCCAACTCCACATGTTTTACAAGGGCTTAATGACATACTATCACTGTCTTGATTTTTGTTGTTGTTGGTACTAGGGATTGAATCTAGGGGTGTTCTACCACTGAGCCACATCTCTATCCCTTTTTTATTTTTATTTTGAGCCAGATTCTCACTAAGTTGCCCCAGCTGATCTCAAACTTTCAATCTTCCTGCCTCAGCCTTTCAAGTCTCTGGGATTTCAGGCATGTACCACCATGTTGTTTTGTATTTCTTAATAACTTTTTAATAAGGCATCCATATTTTCATTTCACACTGATTATGTAGTTAGCCCTTCCCAGAAAGTTCTGTAGGGATCTTGTTTGTGCCATCCAAGGGGGTACCTTACTTCTCCCTGGGCTGGACTGGTTCTCTCAGTGTGTCTCCCCTGTTTGGCATCAGTTGGGGTATATGCCTTCCACCATGTCAGGCTGGCCATGCCTTAGGGCCTCACTGTTGCCTTGCTGAACAGCATTAGGTTGGTGGTCAAAGACATATGTTAAGTGCCATCTGTATACCAGGCAGGGATGGGGAATATGAAAAGAAGGTGTATACGGGGTCTGCATCCCAGACCACCAGGGCAGGGGTGAGAGGCAGATCTTCCTGGCAGAGAGACCTTTGCACTGCAGATTATGTACACACACTGTGTCCATGCTGGCTGTGGAGAAAGGGAAGGGGTAACTGTCAGCTCTTGGCCCTGTGGAGGACACTGCCGTGGGAAGCAGAATCTTTAAATAGCCTCTTGCTTTCCACTAAAAATAGTTCTGCTGCCATGGAGGTGGTTGTTGGGGCGGCAGAGCTGGCTCCTGGCCAAGGCAGGCGTGGGTGCACTAGTGTGGCTGATGTGAGCTGGGGTGGTGGGCAGGGCTGTGGGTCCTATTTGTCTTGCTGGCAGCCACCATTGCTACATCCCTATAGTTAGGACTACGGTAGGGGAATCCCCACTGGCCCCTGACTCCAGAAAGGGCTCAAGTGCAGGATGGGGAGGGAAGTGTGTATCCCCTGTGTACCTGACCACTTGTCACAACAGCTGGGTGTAGGGGAAGCAGCAGAAAAACAATATGAGGGTCCAGGTGCTTTTTAGGACCTGAGAGGTGGCACTCAGGAACTTGCTGCAGGTCAGGGTCAGGGGAATTGAGGACCAGTGGGTATCCATGGAGGGGACTCTGGGTAGGCTCCTTGAGGATTGGAGCAGGTTCTCTTTAGGGAGATGTGCAAAACCCTTTCAAGGAGGCTGCAGAGAACCAAGTGTCCTGGAAGGCTTCCTGGAAAAGCGGAAAGACTTGGAGCTAAGTGCTGCAGGGTGGTGAGAGGTGGGAAGGGGTAGGGGCCTTGTGCTTTTCCAGTGTTTCGAAGTGTTCTGCATTGTTAACTGGGGAGCAAGGAGACAAACTGAGAAGAGGCTGCCAGTGGTGAGGGATGGGTTGCTGTGTCCCTCAGGGAAGAGCAGGGAGACTGTCCCTCCATATATGACTCATGTTTGTGGTTTTCATTACTCCAGAGTCTTCCTTGCGAGGGGTCCCTGCCAGGCTGGGGACAGGTTTAGGTGAGGCCTGAACTGACTGGAGCCACCCAGGCAGGTTACTGGCCTCTATACATCATAGCACATGTGTGTTGTCTCATTTTCTGTCTTGGTGTTCACTTCCTTTCTGTGTCACCCCAGGGAAGGGGAGCCAAGAAAAGTTGTGCCTGGGGTAAAAGGATGTTTGTAGTTTGGCTCTGGGCCACCCATCCTTAATGATGTAATTCCAGTCAAATGGGCCTCTCTGAGCCTCATTTCTCAACTGTGAGTTACACTCCAGACAGCTACCCTGGGGTGTTGCCAGGTTGGAACTGGCATAGCGGGAGGACTACACACTGTACACAGTGTACAACAGCATCTGGTGGTTGAGCCAAGGAACAAAGGGCTGATGGGCAGGGGTCTCCCAGTAGGTCTGCAGCTGGTGGCCTGATGGGTCCAACCCGCACAAATAAAATTTCCATGTCTTATGGATCTGTCCTTTGCCTTTATACTGTACCCTACGTACTTAGCTCTCTTCCTGGCTTTCCATTGCAGGTGCCCATGGTTGACGAGAGCCGTGTCCCCAGCTGTTCCTGTCTACAATGGCATCATCTTCCTTTTTGTCCTGGCCAATTTCAGCATGGCCACCTTCATGGACCCTGGTGTCTTCCCCCGAGGTAGGGCTCTGTGTTGAGGCAGCTCGTCTGCTCATTTTCAATGAAGTATGAAGGGCTGAATTGAGGGACTTAGTGGTTCCCCGTAGATAGGCTGGGCAGGGGCTTTCCTAATAGGGAAGTCACTTTCCTGTTCCCTGCCACTCTGTCCATCTCCTGATCTGCAGCGGACGAGGACGAAGACAAAGAGGACGACTTCCGGGCCCCACTTTACAAGAATGTGGATGTGCGGGGTATCCAGGTCCGCATGAAATGGTGTGCCACATGCCACTTCTACCGCCCACCACGCTGCTCACATTGCAGTGTCTGTGACAACTGTGTCGAGGTGACTATCCCATTGCTCTGTGCTTCCCCAACCAGGCCTTGCACCTAATCTTCACCCCCCTATGTGCCCTGATGCACTGCCTCTGCCTAGGACTTTGACCACCACTGCCCTTGGGTCAACAATTGCATTGGGCGCCGGAACTACCGCTACTTCTTCCTGTTCCTGCTATCACTCAGTGCACACATGGTGGGCGTCGTGGCCTTTGGCCTGGTCTACGTGCTGAACCATGCCGAGGGGTTGGGAGCTGCCCACACCACCATCACGTATCCTTGATCCTTGAGTGCCCCTCCCAAAGGCAGTGTAGGCCAGGGATGTGTGTCACAGGGGAAATTGAGAACCAGAGGGGTTGATCAGCTGCCTAGGGGACCCAGTGGGTGAGTTGTTATTCTTAAGTGGGCAGAGGAGGGTATTTGGACACAGGCACCTGCTCAGTGCCACTCTGATGGGGTCCACCCTGTCCTTACCTGCAGCCATTGACCTTAACCAGTCAGCATGGCTGTCATGTGTGTGGCTGGACTCTTCTTCATTCCTGTCATCGGCCTCACTGGTTTCCACGTGGTGCTGGTTACTCGGGGGCGCACCACTAATGAGCAGGTGCAGATCTCACTGGAGCAGGGCCTTGGAAACCCTTGTGTGAGGTGTCTTGTGCAACTTTGGTGGGAGGGGTCGCAGGTGTGAGGCTGTGCCTACCTGTCCCCCTGCATGCCCCATGCCTGTGGACACTGCAGTCACCAGCAACTGATGGCCTGTATATTCTATAACTCCCTATAGGGATATGCTGGGATGGCCTGGGTGAGGGTCACTCAAGCTGCTTTCCACAATCACCACTTCTGAGGAACCCCAGTTTCCCCTGCCTATCCCTCTGCCTACCCTGGCCTGTACTCTGGGTGGCCAGGCTGGCTGAGGGGTCCCGTGTCCACAGGTGACTGGGAAGTTTCGCGGGGGTGTGAACCCCTTCACCCGAGGCTGCTATGGGAACGTGGAGCACGTGCTATGCAGCCCCTTGGCACCCCGGTGAGGCCCGGCCTGGGCAGGGGGGTGAGGTAGCTTGTGCTGGGTGCAGGGTGGGCAGCCTTGAACCCTTAGCCTGGTATCTTTCTGCACTTTCCAGGTGGGGTTGGTCCTGCCTTTGGTGTGTGTTCATAGCCAGGTTGTTTGGCTGCTGATTCCTCTGTTCCTGGTGCAGGTACATGGTGGAATCACCCCGGTTGCCGCTCTCAGTGAGCCTGAAGCCACCCTTCCTTCGGCCTGAACTCCTGGAGAGAGCTGCACCGCTCAAGGTCAAGCTTAGTGACAATGGGCTGAAGGCAGGACTGGGCCGCAGCAAGGTGGGGGCCTGGGCTGGGAAGGAAGAGGGGATGGGAATCAGACCCTTAGAGTGAGCAAATAGGCATGTTGGAAGGGGGCCCAGAAGAGGTGGAAGGAGGAGGAATTGGGAGAATTCTGGGGAAGGGTCCCACCACTCCAGGAAGGAATCCTCAGTTAAGTCCCACCCCCTATCCAAGCCCCACATACCACTGAGCCCATCCCTCCCAGTCTAAGGGCAGTCTGGACCGGCTGGATGAAAAGCCACTGGATCTGGGGCCACCACTGCCCCCCAAGATAGAGGCCAGCACCTTTGGAGGTGACCTGAAGACCCCACGGCCTGGCAGTGCTGGTGAGGTTGGACAGCCAAATTGGGGGAGGGACATGGACTGACCCCAGTCTGACAGTGGTCCCTTTCCCCAGAGAGTGCCCTGTCAGTGCAGAGGACCAGCCCTCCAACACCTGCCATGTACAAATTCCGGCCAGCCTTCCCCACGGGTCCCAAGGCGCCATTCTGTGGGCCTAGCGAGCAGGTGAGGAGACCAGGCCATGCTTCCAGAGAGTCCCCACTCACAGAGGGCCATGTGCATGCCAGTGGGACCTTACCCGGTTGGGACTGGGGTCAATTGGAGGGGTACAGGGTGAGATATTCTGGGAGGGCTGATTCTAGTGGTTCTAAGCCTGGAATCTCTATTTCTTGGCTGGCATTGCCCTTAGGCCAGATGAGAGGCTGCCCCCAGGAGCAGTGTGTGCCAGGATGACTTGGAGTTTCACCATTAGTGAAACTTAAGGCCCATGGGAAGCCTTCAGAAGAACTTGAGATTTCTTTGAGAAAACCCATTTATTTTCTCCAAGTTCAGTACTCTGCTGTCCAGCTTTCAGAATAACCCAGAGCCCTGAGTGTTCCCAGGGCTGCCATCCCTCCTTGAGGTCTAGCCTTAGAGGCAGGCCTGAGTCCAGGCCCCATTCATCTAGACCAGCTTCATCCCTTAGGATTCACATCCTGTTCCACCTCCATTTTAGGGATTGATAGATGGGGCAGTGAGTCTGGGCTTTTCTAGATGAGGGTCCATTTCTGGTGGGTATGCAGTGACCCTGTCCACCTGGAGGATGGTCAGCCCTGGTTGCTAATGGGGGTATTCTAGGTTCATTCCCTGCTTTACTTCCTTCCCAGGACTGACCTGGATCCTTCAGCCTACTGAAGGTTCAGCCTAGTTGGCTAAGTGCACCAAGGCCATATTTCACCCTCACCACCTTTAGGATTTGAGGTTCCTTGGGCTACTCTTCAGCCTAAGTCAGCTGCCCCACAGAGACTGAAAGAGACCCCTCTTTTCTGTGGCCATGGCTGCCCTGAGAAGGTGGACTCCCTGGCTGGGTAGACTCTGAGGGCACTACTCTGGCCTAGATTGTGGAGTTCCTGCTTCTTTGCTGCCTAGAGTCAGTGTTAACCTGGGTGTTGCCCATGCAGCCCTTTCTCACCTGGGGCTGGTGGGCAGTGGCAGGCCCCACACAGTCTTCCCTCTGAGGCCTCTGTCCTGGCTCCATTCTGTCCCAAATTCCTTCCATGGTTGGCATGAGAGAGGTGGGCATAGTCAGAAAATAGGGAGCATCTTCTATTATGTGTTGGTGGCATCTGCCATGGCCTATGTCACCAGCATTACAGTCTACATTACATGGGCACAGAGCACCTGGTGGCTACAGGCTGGGGGTGTGATTGGGTAGGGGTGAGAGTGCTCTCTTTCTCCATAGGTTCAAGGCCCTGACTCCCTGACTATAGGGGATGACAGCACCCACAGCCTGGACTTTGTGTCTGAGCCCAGCCTGGACCTCCCAGACCATGGGCCCAGTGGCCTGCACTCAACCTACCCACCGTCCCCACCACTCAGTGCCACTGATGCCTTCTCAGGCGCTTTGCGCTCTCTGAGCCTCAAGGCTGCCAGCCGGCGGGGTGGGGACCATGTAGCTCTGCAGCCCCTGCGTTCTGAGGGTGGTCCTCCCACACCCCACCGGGGCATCTTTGCTCCCCATGCATTACCCAACCGAAATGGCAGCCTGTCCTATGATAGCCTGCTTAACCCTGGCTCACCCAGTGGCCACACATGCCCAGCACACCCCTCTGTTGGTGTAGCTGGCTACCGCTCACCCTACCTACACCCTGGGGCAGCAGGTGACCCACCACGGCCCCCACCCCGCAGCTTTAGTCCCGTGCTGGGTCCCCGGCCTCGGGAGCCCTCACCAGTACGCTATGACAACCTGTCGAGGACCATCATGGCCTCCATCCAGGAGCGCAAGGACAGGGAGGAGCGTGAGCGGCTGCTGCGCTCCCAGGCCGACTCACTCTTTGGTGACTCTGGAGTCTATGACACACCCAGCTCTTACAGCCTGCAGCAGGCCAGTGTGCTGTCTGAGGGTCCTCGTGGCTCTGTGTTGCGCTATGGCTCCAGAGATGACCTTGTGGCTGGGCCTGGCTTTGGTGGTGCCCGCAACCCTGCCTTGCAGACATCACTGTCTTCACTGTCAAGCTCTGTGAGCCGGGCACCACGGACATCCTCCTCCTCCCTGCAGGCCGACCAGGCCAACAACAACGCCCCTGGGCCCCGGCCTGGAAGTGGCTCACACAGGTCGCCTGTGCGTCAGGGTCTACCCTCCCCGCCTGGCACTCCCTGCTCGCCCTCCTACATGGGCCCCAAAGCTGTCGCCTTCATCCATACGGACCTCCCGGAACGGCCACCCTCGCTGGCTGTGCAGAGGTGGGTGTCCAGAGGTGTGGGTGGGTTTCCCAGTGCAGGGCAGCCATCCAACCACCTGCAGGGCCCTTCTTGGCCCAGTACTCAAGGGTTGTCCTGGAGCCCTTTGGTTGCCTGCTGGGATGGGACAAGGAGGGTGGGCCTCATCCTGCCTTGAAGACTTCTCAGTTATCCATGTGAGAGTGGCTCGGTTCTGAGGATGCCCTGGGCATGCTTCATATGTGGGAGCAGGAAGATTTGTACCCTGAGATCAACATGTCACATTCTCCCAGAGCTGGTGCAGGCTCAAAATGTGGAAGGGCAACTGGGCACTGGTACCTTTTTTTTCTGGAACTAGTACCATGTGGCTGCATGGGTTTCCTTTGGGCCATGGGCACTGACCTTCCTCAGTCTGTTTGGTACTCTCTCTGGGCTTGTCTCCATGCATCTCCGGAGGCTGAGACTGGGGGACATCTCCTTATAGTGAAATGTGCCACCTCGGGCACATAGTCCCTGGAACAGAAGCTTCCCTGTTTATAGAAAGACTGGCTATAGGCTTCTGGTGGGTTGGTAATTGGTTCTGCCTCATAGAGCCAGGTCCAAGTAGGAGAGCTGAGCCTTGTTTGGGTCAAGTTCTCATGTTGGGTAGGTCACAGAACTGCTGTGTCCAGGTCCTGAGAGCTCAGGCTCAGTTGTTTTAGATAGGCAGATGAGGCCCCAAGGGGAGACTTTTTTATCCAGGCCACTTGGCCACAAAGGAGCTGGGAGCCCAGTCACCAGTGGTCTTGCCCCGAGCAAGGCCTCCCTACCCTACATATGGCCAGGAGCCCATTTACTTTTCTTGGGATCAGGGATGTGGCTGTGGTAAGGCGGGGACAGTAGTTGGGGAAAGGAGGGACTCCTGCCTTTAGGAATGTTTAAGTAGTGAGGTCAGAAACACCATGGTCAGCAGTGGCCAGGCCAGGTGGCAGGAGAACAGCCCTTCATTTTTCTGAGAGAGAATGGGGAGCAGACCCGGTGGTGGCTTTCCAAGCTCAGGGCACCATGACATGGGCAGGACCCATGACATGGGCAGGACCTAGGACTCCAGTTTGATGTCCACCTGCCTGCCCTGTTCTCTGGTCATTGCCAGCTGGGAGGTGTTGAGGCAACCAGGAGGATGATAGCAGTTCTGACATCTGTTTGTCCTTCCTGTGATGGCACAAACCCTCTTTGAGGAAGGGGCCAGGACAGAGGGCTCCAGTCCATGTCTGCGTGTCCTGTCACCCCACCATCCTGTGTTCACCGTGTGTGTATGTATGTGTGTGTGCTTGTTTTAATGCAGAGACCACCCTCAGCTGAAGACCCCCCCAAGTAAGCTTAACGGGCAGTCCCCAGGCTTGACCCGACTGGGGCCTGCTGCAGGTCCTCTGGGACCCTCCGCCAGCCCTGCCCGGCACACGCTGGTTAAGAAGGTTTCCGGCGTGGGTGGGACTACCTACGAGATCTCGGTTTGAGAACTGACCGCCACCCGTCTGCTGTAGTGCCATGGGGACCAGGACCCCATAGTGGCTCTCCCCATCCCCACCGACTTCTCTACCCCAGAGAAAGGAGGCCGCCCAAGCCTGGTGTGGATCAGCAGGAGAGAGCCACGCCTCCACAAGCTTGTCCCTGCACCCTCTGCCTGTCCATCCACTCATCTGCTCATGGGGAAGACAGGATCTTGAGCAGTTTGTGCCAGGCTGCAGGCCCGTATTTATCCTTGATGGGGCAGTGAGGGGGACCCAGACTGCCTCCTCCCTTGGCCAAGCTCAACAACATCACTCTGTCATGCTCCCAGGCTAGTCTCCAACAATCCCATGGGTTTACCTCCTCCCCTTTCAGAGGGTGCCTGGGGCCCTGCCCTCCCAGCTGCTCCTAACATGTTGCCTTTCACTGACCCAGCTGGCAGCTTGTAGCTTGGCAAGGCCGATGCTTCTGCAGTCCTGGTCTACTCTGGGTTTTGACGGATGGATGGACAGATGGACAGCCAGCCAGCTGTGGCACAGGCCCTAGCTCTGTGCATTTTGTCTTGCCTGGCCAGTGGGCTTGTGTCCCCGTGTCTGCGTGCTGTGCTGCCGTGCCACGTCTGATGTGTTAATGCTCGGCCGCCGCTGTCCCTTTCATTGAAGCCTTAACTTCTGCTTTATGCTCTTGTGGGAGGCGACGGGAGGCGGGGGGGGGGGGGGGGGGGGGGGAGAGAAAGTAATGGGAACAGGCACAGGGGTCACACACAACCCCAGGAGGCCAGTGAGACCTGGATCACCCTCCCTGCCAAACTGGAGAATCCCCACCCCAAATCATATGCAGTCCTTGGCTCTAACCCAGCCGGTCCCATGTGGAAAGCACATTGGGGAGGGGGGGACCAGTGCTTCCCCTGGTGTCAGGGACTTGAGAGTAAGCACATGGCAGCGTCAGCTTGCGTTGTGTCTGTTTTATGTTTTTATATCTACATCTATATATCTATAATTTTATTAAAAAAAGAAAAAGAGTCATTTTGATGCTTTACTTGGGCAAGGTCAGGGCTGTGGGTGCAGGGGCCCCAGGGGGAAGGGAAGGACTTCAGGAGAGAGGGTAGCTGATTGGCTCAGGGTAGCACATTCTTTGTGTGCATTTCTGCTGATGAAGCTGAGTCAGGTGAGAACTGGTCAGCATGAGGTATCGTTCTTGGCGGGGGGAAAAAGCTGGGACTGCATCTGTCCCAGGAACCTCCAGGAACTAAGGGCTTGAGGGAGTTGGAATGGGGTGCAAGTGGGGCCACTTGCTGGCTTGGATAAAGGTTGAACTTCAAGGCACTCACTTTTGTCTGCCATATGCTAGAGATGGGATTGGGGAGTTCCAGGAATCAACAGCTTTTCAGGGCTGGCACAGCCTGGCAGGGACTGAGGGGACTGGGGCAGACCCAGTGTAGGAGCAATGGGGAGGCTCAGGGACCCAAAGGGAGGTTCCCTGAGCCTTGGACCCCACAGCTTTGCCCTAAGCTGACCTCCACCCTTTCTGCTTCTCTCTCACGGATGCCGTGGCCCACAGGGGGCGAATAGGCACCTGTAGCCGTGGATGGGGGCAGCGTGGCCAGCCCAGGGGGACCCCTGGCCTGCACCTGTGCCATCTTGGCCTCCCTGAGGACCGCCCTCCACTGCGGGCCCCCTGGAGCCAGGCTGCTGGGGCACCCCCTCGTGGGACCATGTGCCGCCTACACTCGGCAGCCTCCAGCCTTTTTCCCAGCCTCTCGGGACCCTAGTGGGATGCAAGTGGGCAGCTCTGGGGCCCTGGACAGCCCAACTGGAGAAGCAGGAAGCCAGGCTGCCATGGACCCTGGGGTGGGGCTGGGTGTGGACTGTGGGTCCTGTCTCTACCAGCTACATCTTGACTGACTCAAGACTGCCAGGGCCTGTGACCCTGTGTCCAGGTGACCTCAGGAAGTCCTCCACCTGCTGCAGGGGGTCCAGTACCCCATTGAGGGTGGCCCTGGAGTTGCTGTGACCAGCATGACATTCACCCCAGCCTCCCTATCCTACCAAGCACTTTAGACTAAGCCACTTCCTCCTGGGGAGCCTGGGCCTCTGTGGGTTGGGCTGGGGAGGGGGTCTCAGGTTTTCCCTGCCAGTTACTACAGTCCCTCTACCCTGCCTCCAGAACATAAACAGATGCCTTAATTTCCTAGAGCCACCAGCCTGGTGAGCCCTGGGATCCCAGCCCATCCAGCTGGGCCCCTTGCCTGCCCACCGGATTTCCATCAGTATCTCTGCTCTGGCTCCACCTGGTCTGTCTGCATCCAGGGATGGGTGATCCATGGTCCACAGTCCTGCAATCTCTGAGCCTGCTGGACCTGGTTGTCCTCCAGAGGCAGAGCAGGATGACCCTCCTATGCAGGGTCCTTGTCCCAGGATCCACCCTGGGCACTGGCTCTATTCTCCCATTTTGGGACAAGAAAGCCACAAAGCTATCTTCTATTGTTCTAAGGGATACTTCCTCCATTTAAATTCCCCCAATAAAATTTTTGGTGTTTACCTCCATGGCTCTGTCCACCAATGTGGTTCCCCTGTCTGAGCCTTGGGCAGTACCAGGAAGCTGGACTGGGTTGAAGAGTGGAGTGGGGTGGTAGGAGGGGAATGGTGGGTAATGGGAACACTACGAGGTCAGTGAGTCAGCAGACTCAGGGATCCAAGCATGACCTCTGAGGTACCTGGGAGGGCTTGAACCATGGACCCCTGGTTCTCACTGTGCAGATACCTTTCAGGGGAAACCATCATTGTTGGGGTGGAGGGCAGCAATATAGGACACGGGAGTCAACACTGATGCTTGGGGTTGAGGCAGGGATCCTGCCCTGAAGAACCCCTCCCTGCCACTGCCAGATTGACAGGGCTCCTTGGGATAGGTTGCTTTAGGAAGCACCAAAATGCCCCTTCCACACTGTTTCCATGGAAACAAGCTCACACACCAAGCATGTCACGACTATATGTCCAGCCGCAGGCCCAGCCCTCAGGACAGACCCTGCCTCCACCCTTCTCCGCAGCTCCTGGCAGGGACGGTGTGCAGCAGTGCTGTGGCCAGGGGCTGACGGGGCCAGTGGGCACCCAGGGCAGCGCCGGTGGCCGCCTGGCCTCCTCCTTGCTGGGGCCGCTGGGCCTCCGGCCTAGAAGGGCAGGAAGTCGTCCACCTCGAGGCGCAGGAAGGGGCCCAGTAGGGCCCGGAGCTTCCAGACGGCGGCTCGGCTCATCAGGGGCGGCACTAGCCCCTCGAAGGGTGCGGGGTCCACCACGTACACGTAGGCAGCGGTGCAGGCCAGCAGGGCGCCCAGTAGCAGCCTCAGGGCCAGCAGCCTGCGGGCGGTGGTGGTCAGGGGCAGGGGGTGCCCACAGGGACGTTCCCAGGGGGACAGGGCTCTACCTGCAAAGTGACCTACCAGAGCTGGCCCTTGAGGCCCTCGGAACATTCCAGCTGTGGCCTCCCTTTCTGTTGGGGAGGGGGCTGGGTCAGAGCCTGCCTTGAGAGCTATGGCAGAGGGTGGGGGTCCCTGACTCTGGAGGACCCACAATAGACAGGGATTTCAATACAGTCAACCCAGTTGTGCCCCTGCCCCATCCCTCCTGCAGGGGCCACCTTCTGCAACTACTTTCCAGGATGACTCTGGTCACCTGGATCCTCAGGAGGATCCCACCTTGGGGCCTGCTGTCTAGATCCCATTTCTCCACCTCCCCCCGCAGAAGTACCCTTGGGCCAGGTCTCCAAACTGGAAGAGTGGCCTGGGGTGGGGAGCTCACCTCCGTGCACTCCATCTGTTGCTCCTTCCTGGCCTGGGTGCGGCACTGGGCCCGCTCCCTGGGGGGCCGCACTGTCAGGACCATGTGCTCCTCACCCCATACTTGTGCCACCCCCTACTGTGGAACTGGGGGATCAAACATTGATCCACCCCATCCCGACCTGGTTCAGTCAGGCCCTGGTCCCCTACGTCACCCCAGAATCTCCAGCTGAATGTCCTCCATCTGCTCTAGCACGCCCCGGATGTCCTTCTTGAGGTTCTGGGGGACAGAAGAGGTAAGACAGATCTTCCACCCGGACTACCTGCTGCCCTCCCCTGCCTCTCACCACCACCTAACTCCTGCCCTGCCCTCCTCATCCTCCTGGGGACTTACCAGGAGCCCAGTGGCCTGGTTGTTCAGAGCCATGTGTACCTCGGCCACACCGTCCCATACCTGGGAGCAGGAAAGTCTGTGTTATGTTCAAGGAACAGGATCTACCAGCGGGGATCCCCTCATACCCTCTCCCACCCTGGTCTGGGTGAGCACCTCAGTGATGGCCATCTTCTTCCTCTCAAAGGACAGTCGTATTTGTTGTAGCTCATTCTGGATGAGGAGAGACAGTATGGGCACAGGAACCCCCTCTCTGGGCCCAGGTCCCTACTGCCAAGCCCACCTGAGACTGCCGAACGAAGGCCTCCTCCCCCTGGCACAGCTCCCGCCGTAGCAGCTGAACAGGTGTCCTGTCCTCCAGGGGCCGGGTGCTGGCTGATTCAGGGGACTATGGGAGAGCCTCTAGATCAGCCCAAGGCTGTGGGCAATGTCTGCAGCCCTGGGCAGCTGGGGGGATGCTGCTGTGGAGGGTCACAGGGCTGCACACTTGTTCTCACCCAGGCCAAGGCTGTGCAACTTGAATGCTCTGGACACAGGGGCAGGAACTGCTGTCCTGGACCCAGGAGGACCCCCAGCTGCTCCCGAAGGTCCTGGTTCTGCCTTTTCTAGAGTTGGGAGACAGAGATGGGGTCATCTATCATGACTGCTTTTCAGGTGGAAAACTGAGGCAGGGTCTGGAGCTTTGAGGTGAGGTAAAGGCCTGGGCAGCTAGGATCAGTCTGGAGCCCATCCAGCTGGTGGCTTTGTACTTACCAGGCTGTGGTTCTCCTGCTCCAGCTGGAGAAAGGATTGTTCTGCAGACCCCAGCGGCCCGCTCTGGAGCTGAGAGGGGGCTACTCTGGGTGAGGCTGGGACCCCTCTTCCCAATGGAAGGCTTGGACATGGGCAGGGTCTAGGCCCTGTACAGGGGGATCCCCCCTGCCTGAATGGCCCCTGCTCTCGCCCTTGGTGCAGGGGCCAGCCCCACCCCAGTTCTGCCTCCATTTCTCTTTGTCTTGGCCCTACTGGCTCTCTCACTCTCTGCCACTGCATCTCTCCTTCTTCACTTGAAAGAAAGACCCTGGTTGCCTCACCCCCCACCCTGGGCTCCCTGCCCCCTGACCCCGGGGCTGGAAAAGTCCTCACAGACTCCAGTGAGTGAGTGGAGGGGATGGGAACCAGACAGGGCCACCTTACAAATCCCTGGCAGGGCTGATCCAAGCATCCTCCGTGGCTGCCCGAGGCTGGGGCTGGGGGACACTGGGAGTGGGAGTGGCCACATGGTCCCAGAGTTTTTGGCCCCTCCATCCCTCCCTGTGACCCCTTCCTGACCCCAGGTCCAGGCTCTGGCCTGGCTGACCTGCCACCCTCTTACTGAGGGTAATTTGGGTGTCACTCTGGCTCACAGGTTTGCCTGGGTGACAGTCACAAAGGCCTAGGTACAGCCAGGGAGGTCATAATGGGGGAGCTGGGGCGGGAGCCAGGCCCTGGGGCCCCTCCCACCACAGCACTGCCCTCACTGCCCCTGAGTTCCTATTACCCATGTCCTTCTCTTCTTTGTTTTCCTCTTTCATTCCGTGGAAGTTCCTCAGTGAACATCCCCAGGAAGCTGGTTCAGAAAAATCCTGAGTCCTGGTTGAAACCAAGTTGGTAGAAATGGCCACTGATATGGCTTCCCCCAGGATCCTGGCCACTCTGCAATATATTCCAGCCAGGTCCAGATCCTGGAAGGAGGGTGAGATAGCCCACTAAAAACCCCGAAGAACCTGCTTAAATCAGGTTAAATCAGGAGTGTTTTCATTTCTAAGTTTTGGAGTAGTCTATCATATGAGAATAGATAATCATGAGGACCTCAGAGGTCTATAAGCCTCTTAATCTGGCTTCTTGCTTGCTGGATGTTAGTCTGGGCAGAGAATCAGATCCTAGGGCATCCCCTGTCACCTCCACCCTGGGAGCTCAAGGACAGAAAGTAAGGTCCTTAGTGCTGCTAAGGAATCTCTGGAGCCCTCTCTGACCTCTGAGACCCTAGGATTTCATGCTTATTGAGAGTGTCTTATTGATCATGGCACTGGGCACTTGGTAGGCACATTTCATATTTTTATTCTTTAGTTTTTGCAGTGCTGGAGCTAGAGCTCAGGTCTTTATGCATGCTAGGCAAACACTCTACCAATGAGCTACATTCCCATCTTGAGAGTTAGTATTTTGTTAATAAAATCTTTTCTGCTTTTCCTGTCCTTTAAAAAAAAAAACTCCCAATAGTTAGATATTGGGCCTTCTGTATTGATTTTATGTGTTCTTTACTTTTTAAAATTTGTCTTTGTTATTTGTAGATTTCCTTGAGTCCTAATACTCTCTTTACATACAGTTAGGATCACTTAGTGATGAAAATATATTCTGAGAAATTTATCATTAGGCAATTTGGTTGTCAAATATCATAAAGTGAACTTACACAAACCTAGATAAAATAGCCTCCTATGCCAAAGCTATATAGTACCTACATGTATGACACAGCTTTCTGCTCCTAGGGCCATAATGAACAAAACAACATGAGATTAAATCAAGCACAAGAGAAAATGATGCAATCAAGAGGCACAATAAACATGAGATGTTTGAGGGCTGCTACTGGCATAACAAGAGTGTATTATTTTACAATAAACTTTTTTTTTTTTACAAGTAGAAGGAGTACACTATAAAATAACAATATGGGCTGGGGTTGTGGCTCAGCGGTAGAGCACTCACCTTGCATGTGCAGGACCTTGGGTTCGATCCTCAGCACCACATAAAAATAAATAAGTGAAATAAAGGTATTGTGTCCAACTACAACTAAAAAATAAATAAAAAATAAATAAATAAAATAACAACAAAAGTGTAGTATAGTCAATTTATAAACCAATAACATAGTTATTTATTATCTCATCCAGTATTCTGCAATGTACCTAATGATATGTGCTGGACTTTTATACAACTGAAAGTGCAGTAGGTTTGTTTACACCAGTATCACCTCAAACATGTGATGATGTGCTATGATGTCATGAGGGTTACAACATTATTAGTTGATAGGGAAATTTCAGAGCTCTATTATAATCTTTTTTTTTTCCCCCAGTGCTGGGGATCAAACCCAGGACCTTGCAAATACGAGGCAAGCACTCTATCACTATAACCCCAGCTCTCTCCCTTACAATCTTATGAGACCCACCATCCTAAATGTGGTCTGTTGTTGACCAAAATGCTGTTATGCAGTCCATAACTGTATATCTATGGTTTTAAAAAACGTTCTTTGAATTTCAGCAGTCATATTTTAAACTGTGGTTGTCTCTATTGTACTTTGGATGCCTCCTATTCTTTTCTCAGAACATCCTATTCTCTTTTAGGGATTCACTGGATTTTGAGGGGAAGGAGCATCTTTTGCTGACTGTTTTCTGTCTTCACTTTTTGGTTCTTCTCCCTTTGCCCCCTTGTGTTTGGTCTTAGGACTTCCCGTTAGATGCTGTCCTCCATTATCTGACTTTTCTTTCTTTTATTGTCCCTGCTTATAAGGAAGGTTGGAAAGAGCCAGCAGGTACTTTCCTTTCCCCATTAACTGTCGGGGTCGGGGGGGGGGCGAGTAGTTGAGCTCCTGGGAGGAAGGCCTTCTGCACCAGCTCATATCTTCCTGCTGCAGCTCTGAGGTCTGAAGTGGAGAATAAATTTGGGGGTTTGCCTGGGTAGTTCTCGTTGACACCTGCGGTTCTACTGTAATTATTAAAGGAGTACTACAGTGCACAAGCCAGCCCCAAACAACCTAATTTTCTACCCTTCCCTGGTTTCCACACAGGCTGTTCCCCTGTCAGTCCCTACTTCCTTCTGCAAACATTTGTTGAAATCCTTCGTTTCTATATGGCCTCTCTCCTGTTCTCTTCTCCACATAGAGAAGATATATAGCCAGAGGCACTGAGGATCTCACTGACAGAGGAGATGATGCACAAAGACTGCAATGGTGGCTCATAGTGGACCCAAGTGGATACATGTGCCCCTGGTGCAGGAGGCTAAAATGCATTTCCAGGGACAGGGCAACATCTGTGCATCCTGTAGCAATGGGCTCTGACCAATGTGATAGGAAGGGTCAGGAACCTGAATCAGTGGCTTCCTGAGTCTCTCCTTAGCTTCCTGGGCGGCTGTTTGCTCAGCACCCAAGAAGGATGTAGAAGTTTCCAAGGCCCTCTCCTGAAACCGGCCTGTTCATTCCCCTTTGGGATTTCATGGGTCTTGGGTGGTGCTCAACTCAGAGATGGAGACCACGGAAGGGCTCTTGGAGGGCCTTTGAGGTGAGATGGGCCATGGGTGGGAATTGGGAGCACAGCATAGGCAAAGGCCTTGAGAAGCTGGCATGGGGGACAGTGTGCTGTGTCCCTTAGGCTGCTAGGTGCTTGGTAGGTATTCAGGATGTTCAATGACTCCTGTAATAATGACGATGAATGGTGGCACAAGGGTGAACTGCTGAGTGAGATCCTCAGGTTGCACCCTGCTGGGCTGCAATCTTCTAGTGACTGTGAGGAAGTATCTTGGATACCCTAGAAGCACTTATGTCCTCCTGCCACTTAAGACCCCAGAGTGCTTCCTTTCTCAGCCTGGAAGCTCCACACTCCCTGATCACCCTACCTTTCTTTGTGCTGTGCCTGGTCTAGAAGTCTGGTACCAAAGAAAGTCAGACCTGAAGATTTCTCTTCCCTGAGATCCAGAACATCATGAGTGTATATGTGGACTCTAAGAGGGAGAAAGGAGCACTGGATCTGCAGCCACAGGGCAAGATATGCTAACGTATGCCCAGTGCCATGTAATTAGGTGTCCTGGATTGGGGAGGGAATAAGGTGTCTACATCCAGTGAGGGCTCTAGGATGTTCATGCAGGAAGAGGGTGAGTCTGCCGCAGGTTGGAGTACTGTCTAGATGCTGGAATTCCCAGCCTTGTGTGTGGAAAGTGTGGCCAGCTGAAACATAGTTTTTTGGAGGGTGGGGAACCGTGGCCCACGTTGCTAGGCAGTGCACCTCCCTGGACGCTAGTTACCATGGCAGCAGTTTCCTGCCCATGTTGTCATGACGCCCAGATGGCCTTGTAGAGCCTGGAGCAGTGAGAAGGGGCCTCCCCAGTCGCCCCTGCCCCTCCATGATGGTGCCCAAGGTATTCTGAAGAGACAGAAGAGAAGGCAGGACTGGCCACTGGCATGGAGATCCAGTTCTTCCTGCCTAGAGCCAATCTGGGGGCAAGGGCAAGGGCTGGATGGGGCCCTCTTGCCTTACTCAATGTGGCCTTGGCATTCAGTGTCCTGAGCTCACTTCAAAAGCTGGAAAACAGGCCCTGAGTTGATGAACCAGCCACAGCCCCTGGAGGGGGCACCCCATCTTCATTTTCCTTACTTTGGTTTCCTTACTCAGATCTTCCTAGCCTGCCCATCAGGGGAGCCTCTCCCACTTAGACCTTGAAACTGCCCTACATGGAAGATCAGGTATGTCAGCAGACTCTGGAGAACTGTCTCTTAATCCCTATCAACTTCCCTGTAGCAACCCTGCTATAGTCATTGCCTCCTTTCACCTGGAGCTTCAGGTCATTTCCTAACCCCTTCACCATCTTCCCAGGATCTGGATGAGTTCTGAGAGCAAGCTTCCTTTTTTTTCTGAGCATCTAAGAGGTGCAGAGTGACACTTGGCCAGGGCTCATGGAACTTTTGAGGATGGTTTGGCCCCTCAGGCACTCCTAGACTCATAGCCAGGAGAACAAATCCACTGAAGGCTGGATGAGGAATGGGGGTGGCCTGAGGAGTGACCACCCCATTCCAGGTCCAGAAAACAGGGAATGCTGGACCTCCATTCCTGGTAAGAGGACATGTGCCACTGAGTTCTGGGTGGCCTCCCCTGCCCTCCCCAGCATGGAGGGACAGAACAGGCTGGGTCCTGGGGATGGGATGTGAGCAAAAGAGAGGCCTTGGTGGAGGATATATGCATGAAGTCATGCTTCAACGCTGCCCTGTCCCTGGCATGGCCACATAGCTCCTAGGGTATTGGCTGTGGCAGACCATTTGTCTTCCCTCCCAGATGACTCTCTGGATACCTGCTGCTCATATTTTTTTATTTAAGAATTGAAAAGATTATAAGAATGTCAAAGAAAATCCTCTTGTGGACAACACAGCCTCAATAAATCATAGCCAGTCCAAGATGTTGAGGGCTTCAAGGCCTGGAGAGTTAGTATGCTGGGACTTCCAGGGCCCTTGTGCTCCAGGGTCACAATGGGTGTGTTGGATGTGGGTATGTATCCACTCCTGAGCCCAGAGGACA